GGGCTGCGCGTACCTGCGCCCGCCGCCGGCCCCACCGCGGACGGGAGAGAAAGGGGAGCAGCCCCCACCGCCAACTCGCACATCCACCAGCGCCACCAGGCGATTGGCCCCGCCGCCTCACCCCTGCGCGGGCCCGCCGCCGCCCCATTGGGCAAGGCGGCTGCCCGTCAGGGCCGGGGGGCGGCCCCCGCTCCCGCCCCGCCCTCCGTGAGGGCCAGGGCGAGAGAGGCCCGGCCGCCGGGAGGGGAGGAGGGCCGCGCCATCCGCCCCGCGCCGCCGCGCCGCGGCCGGTTGGTCTTTTTACCTGCCCGGTGGGAGCCGCGACGGAAGCGGCGCAGGCAGCGAGGGCGGCGAAGGAGAGCGAGAGCGACCTGGCTCGCCAGAAGAGAAAATGGCGCCTGCGAAAACCCCGCCTTGTGCTGGCTGCCCGGTGCCGGGGGAGGGGTGCGCCTCTCGCGATGCTTAAAAGCGCGCGCGAGGCGCGCCTCCTATTGGCTGCTGGGGCGCGCGGGGTTTTTGGGGACCTGCGCTCGGGGAGCGGCCGCGCCCCCTGCACGCGCACACCCCTGCCCCCCAGCTCCGCGGCGGTGGCAGGGGCTGCCCCGCCGGTAGCGCCTCACCGGTACCGCCTGCTCGCCCCGGTAAGTGCGGGTGGCTCAGCTGCAGGTGAGGTGGGGCGGGGCGGGGGGAAGGGGCTCGGCCCCTGTGAGGGGCTGCGGGCTGTGACCCCCACCGCCCTCACCTCCCCTCAGCGCCCTTCAGTCAGGGCCCCGGCCCGCGGGGGCAGCGCCGCGCGAGTGGCAGGCTGGCGCCTTACTTTGGTTAAGTGACTGCACGGTGTTTTCTCGGGGGTGGATGTCCCAAGCCTGTCCGTGTTTAAGAGGCCTTTGGACGATGCCCTTGATAACATGCTTAAACTGTTGGTCAGCCCTGAAGTGGTCAGGCAGTTGGACTAGATGGGTGTTGTAGGTCCCTTCCAGCTGAAATCGTCTTCTATTCTGTTCCATTCTATTCCCTTCTACTCCATTCATGCGTAGCTACTTCCTAAACTAACAAGAAGCCGGAGCTTATTAGCCGCTAATGTTCCTGAGATGATGACTTGGTGCTATTGCAGCCAAAACCTCGACTGGGTCTCTAGATAACAGTGATGTTTCAAGCTGGCTTCCTGTTGCCGGGTACAAAGCTTTCATCCAGTTACAGTGCTGAAGTCACCCCTGTGATACAAGTGCTGATGGATCCCAGCTTGCTTCTGTTGTAGATGGGCTCTCATACTTCTGTTCATAAAAGTACTAATGAAGTGGGAGAATAATTTCTCAGGTCAATTTCTAAAGTAAACTGGGTGTTAACAGCAGCACCCACAGAAATAAAACCAAAAAAATAGGGGACAACCTACTTTTTTTTTTTTTTCTTGTCCATTAGCTTTCCATCAGTAACAAAAGGATTTCAGTTATATGTTTCTAATTAAATCAACAGAAAAGGAGAAGTCACCAAGCAGGTTGCTTGTAGAAGTCTCCATACTTTCCTGATACTCCATGATGAGTAAACTGCCCATAATTTTTATCCTGTTTGAAACTTCAAATATTGGAAATGCATGTTTATTTTTAGTGTCTGTAGAAGTGTTTTTAATTTAAATTGCTTCCAGGTTGTCACATTTAGACTAGCAGAACTTTAAAACGAGAGCGAAGTTCTGTATAATACAAGCAAGAGACTTGTCATAACTTTAGCTGTTGTCAGAAGAGTAAATATGTCTTTTTGGGTTTTGTTCTAGGGAATTCACTGTCTTAACTTAAAAGAAAATGCCTACATCTAACATTGCAGCAAGAGTGGAAACTTGGCTTTCATCCATATGGCATGTTAAAGTTCCTTTGACATGGCTGGAAGCATGTATAAGTTGGATCCAGGAAGAAAATAGTGGTAGTAACTTAAGTCAAGCTCAGATTAACAGGCAGGTATTTGAGCAATGGCTTCTTACGGATCTAAGAGATTTGGAATATCCCATTTTGCCTGACTGCATCTTAGATGCTCCCAAAGGAGAGTTGTCAGGCTTCTACTCCATACAGATTGATTCACTGGTTGATGTTAGCCAGCCAGCATATTCCCAGTTGCAGAAGCTAAGAGGGAAAAATACTGTAAATGAAGAAGTAACAGTGAGTACTCAGGCATTCCAGAAGCCCTGGGAAGCAAAGCCTACTCGAATGCTCATGCTGGAACTAACTGATGGGGTACATCAAATTCAGGGGATGGAGTATCAACCAGTGCCAGTCCTCCACAGTAATCTTCCACCGGGAACAAAAATCACTGTACAGGGTAATATTGCATATCGTCTTGGAGTCCTTCTGCTTAAACCAGAAAATGTGAAACTGTTGGGGGGTGAAGTGGATGCTCTTCTTCAGGAGTATTCTCAGGAAAGAGTCCTTGCTAGATTAATTGGAGAACCTGAAAACCCTAATTCTGTTGGACAAGCTGGTCATGACCAAACTGTTTCAAGGCCTGTGGATGAATTAGAACAAACTCTAGGCCCTTCAGATGAAGAGCTTTTAGCCAGTCTTGGTGAAAATAATGAATTTACTTTAAATAATGAAACATCTTCAGAAAGCGGATACTGCAGTAGAAGCAATGATTTTCGGACAGCCTCAGGTTCACTGACTGCACACAATAGAAATGTTTTGCTACAGGAATCTGGAAGTCCTTTGCCTCATGCAGATGAACAAGTTTCACCTCCCATAGAATATGTTGATGGAAATGACTTCCCTTTAGAAGATGACTTTCTTCTGGAAGAAGAGGTGCAAAGAGAGCTGGAAGATGCACCACCAGTGGTCATGAACAGAAACATAAGTTTAATTACTGAGAGACTTCCACATACATCTAGAAGCTCCTGCAATTTATCTTTAAATGCCAGTTGTGAAAAAGATGATGTGAATGAAAGGGATAAGCCTGTAGAAGCTACCAGCAAGCAAAAGACTTCTGAAAGAACAGTATCTGATGGAGATGGAAATAGTATGAGTAGCTTTTCAAAGCACAAGAGCATACATCATATCAGCAGTTCTGCAGATTTGTCTTTGGAAGATCCTCCTGAAGAAAGGCAGAATGATACAGGCCTGGATGAGAGCAGGTGTAAATCCCAGCGTACTTCGGACAGCAGGCTGTTAAATGATGATGCTGTGTTTTTCTCAAAAAATGTTCCAGAAGCAGATCAGCAGAAGCATGATTCACAGACCATTCCTTGCAGAGCATTAGAGGCACATTTAGATTTACGTTCTCCACCTTTCACATATATTTCCCTTCTCCTTGCAAAAAAACCAGAAACTGTTACGGTCCTTAAAGTTAAGTGTTTTATTGTTACTCTCGCTGGAAACCTCACAAGCAGCAATGGGTCCTGGGGTATAAAGGCAAAAATTTCTGACGGTTCAGCTTATCTTGAAGTAGATTTTGCTGATGGTGTTCTAAGAAGTTTGATTGGCTTTTCAGTGCCTGAAATGAATAGACTGAAGAAGGATCCAGCTTTACACCTGAAGCTTAAAGATGGTTTAGAGAAATGTCAAAAAGAACTGATAGATCTCTGTTGTTTGATGACTATAGTGTTTAATCCACTTCAGTCTAAAGCCACTGTATTAATTCTCCAGGATGCTGATGCGAGGCATCTAGAACAGTTGAAGAAACGTTTGAATAAATAACATGTGCAAACTTGCAGACTGTATGTTAGGAAACATTTAAGTCAGATTTCCCCTGAAGGACTGTTGAAAGTTAAAATTTAAAGTTAAATGGTATGTCTTTTCTCTTTTCAGGAAAAATAATGGAAAAGTGGAAGAAGGAGATGACTTGCTGGAGTGAAACTTAGCAGTTTGTTTCTTACAGTGATTGAAATAAGCTTTCAAATATTTCTGTCTTGATTTAAAATACTTATGTATCGATTTCATTCTGCAAAATCCTCTGTGTCCTTGACTGGTGATCTGGAGTAGCAGAATTTGTCAGGAAATGGATAACAAACAAACCATCTCATTATACTTTTTCAAGGATGATTACTTACCTGATTTTTAAAAGGTAGCTATAGGAGACTATCAGTCTTTTCTTGGAGGAAAGCAGCTGAGTAAGTTTAAACAAAGAATTATTGTTTAAATGCAGTAACTTCTGACTATGCCAGCCTGAAAACTCGAATACATATCCACTGTGCAAGAACCTCAAGTGTAGAGAAATGAAAGATTTTCTTCTAAATGCTCAGCTGTGGGGGAAGAAAAGAAACCCAACCCTATACATAAATAAAATTAAAAGCTACATATTTTTAAGTATTAAAAAAAGCCAAATATTTAAAAATCTTTTATTAACAGAAAAGACTGATTATAACGTATGGGGAATCTATTTTTTGTCATGTTAATGTTAATCAGTGCTAATAGTTTTGAACCCACAGGCAACCTTATTCATTAACTCTTAAGATTACTTGTCTAACCTTTTCACAGAGTAATCAAATACTTGTGCTACAAACCTGTTGTATATGTATATTTAATGTTGGTCTTAATTTTAATTTTTTTTTCATTTCTGCTTTTAGAATGTATAAAAATAAATATATTCATGTTTTCATTTAAACTTTGGTGGAAGCTGTTTAGTCACTTTAAAAGAAAAATATACACCTTATTGAGTGTATAGAGTATCAGAAATGGTTTAATTGGGTTTTTGTTCTTCCTTTTCCTTCTTCCCATCCTTTTCCCTTCTCTTTTTTTTTTTTTTTTCTTTGAAATCGGAAGAATTAAAATTCTGCTAGGGGTAGGAGACCAACAACAGAAGTCTGCACAGTGTTGATAGTGTTTGCAAAGAGTGTAAAGTTGGTAGCCAGGAGAGGAATTTTTCAATTGGACTGTCAGTATCTTTTTTCAGAGCCTTTTCTTTCTCTGAACAATGTCTGTTAGACTATTGGGAATTGCTGTGAGAGACTGTCAGTATTGCCCTACTGCCCTGTACCTAGTTGGACTTTGAGACTCCAAGTGACTGTCCCCAGTTGAGACTTTGAGACTCCAAGTGACCTAAAGAAAACTAGAGGTAATTTGCTAAGTAAGGTAAAAATGGAGGAAGGTGGAGGAGGCAGTCTTGAGCTTTTTCAGGCTTAAGGCATGAGCTTTTTTAGGCTCTACTTTATACAGTTTAGAAATGCCTAAATTTCTGTGTACCTTTCCTTCCTCTTCTCCCCCTTCCCTCCCTTCTCTGAAATGAACCTGAGCAAACCATAATCCCATGAGTCATCTTTGGGTTTATTTTCTGAGGTTGTTGGGAATTGTGCATCATTTAGAACTGTAACAGCAAAAGCTTTTGCCGGTGTGGAACCTATATTGCTGGATCTTTATTTACAGTTTCAGAAAAAATTGCTTGTTAGAAGGAAACTGACCAAGCTTCATTGCATTTAATCCCTGTAAAAGGTAGTACAGCTGACTGTAAACCTTTACTGCAGTTTTATGGAAACATTTCTTTTATGATGAGTTATGGAAACTTCCTTTGAAGTTTTGGCCTTACCGTGTGAAAGGAGTCCTTAAAGTTCAAGCTAAATGAATAATCCACAGATTTTATTCTACTTGTGCAAAGCAAGAGAGATATCATTCGAAGTGTGGAAACAAATTAAGTGTTGTCTTTGTTTCAGCAGATGAAGTCACACCTGCCTCTCTTTTTCTACATTTGTGTTAAGGTTTAGTCATCGCTGCTAAAAGAAGTTTGGGTGTCTTCTGTTGTCTTCCCCTTCACCCCCCCACCTTAAAGGTACTGTTATTTGTCTGACTTTTCCTTCTCCCCCTCCCCCAGTTGTCCTTGTCTTCATTTTCAGGATGTTCTTCCTGGAAGGCTACTCCTGTGCCTGTTCTCCAGTGCGAGCAAGAAGGTAAATCTCAGTACTGCTAGCTGTTTAGAGCTTGACTGCTCTGCAGGTATTTCAGTGCAATTTTCTGGCTTATAATGGTTCCAGATTTGTGTTTAAGCTTCTAGAATTAATGAAAAGTATTGCATAGTTTTTCAGACAAGAATATGAATGAAATAATGTGATTTTGAGAAAGCATGCTTAGTTAAGAGCAGTATGTCAAACAGAAAATGGCATATGTGCATACCAGTCATTGGTTCATGCCTTATCCACTTTATTGGCTCTCAGAACCAGCTTCATCTATTGCCATTCTTAATGCTTTTGTGCTGCATGTATGTATTGTGTGTGTATTTTGCCTCTGTGTGCCAAGCAGTGGTGCATGTCGCAGTCCTTCATGTAATCAGAGTTCTTAGAGGCTGAATTCAGAGAACAGGCTGCAACCCCAACTGACCATGGTAGTGATGCGGGGCAGAGTTACGGCCACACTCTGGCTAGGGAGTGCAACAGAATTCCTGTAGGAGCTGCTGATGGCAATTGTCATGGCAGCTGCTCTCACAAGTTACTTGTAGCCTTCTAGCAGAAAGCAGTTCCTGCTCTTTCTATCATCTCTTCTCCATGCTATTTTACAAACTTTCTTGCTAACATTGTTTCAGCTGCAGTGTATCTGACTGTGTGCAGTTTCAGAAGCTGTATTCTTCAGGAATGTTTTCAAATTAGTGGGAAAAATAAACTGCCTTTTTTCATTGGTGATCACAGTGGAAACTTCCAACTAATTCAGTTTTAACGTATGAAACCTACTATGTTCTCACAGTGACTTGAAGGTTATTATATTGATGATGAAAGTTTGCTCTTCCTGCCTTTCCTACATTTATTAGAGAAAATGAAAACAATAAATTGGCTACAGTGGTGCTAGGTAGCTGCATCAAAATATCCCATTTAAAAGCTCTGTCACTAAGGCAAGGTAGCAGAAAAAAGAAAGTTCTCAGAAACTTTGCTGTGCCCTACTTCCTTTAAAGGTATTCACTCTCAAACTGTAGAACAAGGCAGTGGCTAGACCAAAGAATGTGGCAGGTTTCCAAATAAACTAGGCTGGCAAGAACAACTTGAGGACTAGCCTAATCCTGCTGGATACTAGTTTGGCCACAATGATGCATGCATTCATTGTAACCCAGCAATTTCCTTCTTGTTGAATAAAGGCAGTGTCCTAAGGAAGCAACAGCTAGCTGAGATAACATAATTTTAAAGTATCAGTTAGGAATGTTAAGGGATTTCTTAAAGGTTGTGCTGTACTGCTCCAGTAGTGTGACTTCACACTAAAAGAATTATGTATTTCAGCTTATATCTGTAGGAGAAATTTTCACAGTAGCTGACTATGGAACATGATTAGATAGAACAGTAAACATAACATTTGGTTCTAAATATAAAGCCCTCTTTAATAGTGTCTTGCTATAATATAATGTCAAGCATTTCTATTTAGAATAAAAAGGTAATAACTTTAAGCTTTTTGTTAAAGGGAGGGAAGAGTGATTTATAGTACAGCATTTCTGAGTTATCTGATTGCAATCAAGCTTAAATGTATTTACCTGGGAGGAAAGGCCCAAAACGACTTTAAATAGTACCTCTCGCTTCAGATCCAATTCTCTGCATTATGATCCTGGAAGGAACAGAATGACAACAGTAATGACAGCAAATGAAAGGTTAGGGGCAGCCTGACATTGCAACTCTTTTTAATCCATCAGAAAGGTAGAAGTTTCCTACAAATCAGCTTCTCATCTAAGTGTATATGTAGCATACTTTTGTATCAGTGTATCACTTTTAAATCTTTTTTTCCTTAAGGATTTTTTTTCCCCTATTTACACTGGGTTTTCTAGCAGGGCAAAATTGCATAGCGTTGCTGTAAGAATTTGTCATGCTTCTGATTCTTAGCCTTCTCTTAAGGCTGAAGAAACCCGTTTCTTTCATCCTCTCCAGGGAGTGGCATGTGCTCCAGCTCCCTGACCACCTTGGCAGCCATGTACTGGTCACCTGCCTCACTATGTCAGTGGCTTTCTTGTGTGAGGGAACTCTAGATAGGACAGGGTACTCCACATGCAGTCTCACAAGTGCTGGAAACAGAAGGCAGCTCACTTTCTTGGACCTGCTTGCTGCTCTTATAGAGGCTGGCCACTCCAAGGTCACATTGCTGACTTATGTTCAACCTGTATACCAGGGCACACAGGTCTTACTCTGTAAAGCTTTCTAACTAGTTGATTCCCAACCCATACTGTTGCATGGGGTTATTTCTGCTAAGATGAAGGACTTTGCATCTCCCTTTGTTGAATTTAAGGAGTTTTCTATCAGTCCATGTGTCCAGTCAATGTGCTACTGGCTCTCTAGCACTGCCTGCTTTCTTTCCTTTTCTTCCCCTTGCCCCTCCCTGCCATGTCTGGTAGCTCTTCCCCTGCCCCTGCTTGCATCTTATCTATGCAATCAGAAACCTTTTCTTAGAGAGAATCAGGCTGGGCAGACATGACTTGCCATTGGTAGACTGATGCTGCCTGTTCCAAATCACCATCATCTCCTTCATGTGCTTGGCTATGGATTTAGGGAGGATCTGCTCTAACCTCTGGGACTGAAGTCAGGCTGCCCAGTCGGTAGCTCCCTGGATCCTCCTCCCTGAAGATGGGTGTGACACTTGCCTTTTTCCAGTCATCAGGAACCTCCTAATTGCTGCAACCTTTGCAATATAATAGAGAGTGGCCTTGTAGTGACACGAGCCAGCACCCTCAGCAGCACCCTGTCTGGTCCCATGGAGAGTTTTATGTGTTTGCAGGGTAAAGTACTCTGGTATTACCAGGAGGTGCTAGTACATGTGATAGAATCATGGAATCATTGAGGTTGGAAAAGACCTTTAAGATCATAGAGTCCAACCATTAACCTAACA